TATATATATATATATAAATCTATTATTATTATTATTATTATTATTATTATTATAGTGACAACAAATCAATTAACAATATCTCCACTCTCTCGACACCACTTACTATCGGTGCTCATGTGTCAGGCCGTCAATAATAACATAACCGCTCCCTCGTCGACATCCATTACACTCGACATGAATTGTAAGTACAATATTGTTATATAATATACAAAAAAAATAACATAACATAACATTAACTTATATAAAGTACAGTACAGTAGCTATTATTGTGTCTACAATGTCTACTATATAAAAAAATAATATTTTTTTGTCTAATAATAATAATATAACAGATTATTAATTTTTTTGTATTGTAGTACATAATATACTAGAATAATAATAATAATAATTTATTATTATTATTATTATTATTTTAAACACAATAGTTGTGAGACAAGTGTACCCTTTAATTATTAGCAACAATAGACCTATTAGTTTAATGAGTGGGAAAATTTTTCAGACAGTTTTTTTATAATAATAATAATAATAATAAAAATTATTATTATTATTATTATTATTAATATGATGATGATGATGATAATGATGATTGTATAAAAATAGCTAATTTGTTATATATTATGTTTTTTTAAATAAAATTAATAGTTTTATACAAAACTTAAAAATTATTTAACATTCACATAATTTTTTTTAAAAAAATACTAGCTATTTATTTTAAGTAAATAAATTTATTTAAATTGTTTTTAAACTATAAATGTTTTTAATTAAATGTATGTAAATGTTTTCACTAAAATTTTAATTATATATATTTAAAATTATCTAAATTTATAAAAATAACTAAATTTTATAAAATAATTATTTTAAATTTAGTTAATTTTGAAATTTAGTTAATTTTGAAATTTAGTTAATTTTGAAATTTAGTTAATTTTGAAATTTAGTTAATTTTGAAATTTAGTTAATTTTATAAATTTAGTTATTTTGAAATTTAGTTATTTTTGAAATTTAGTTAATTTTATAAATTTAGTTATTTTTGAAATTTAGTTAATTTTGTAATTTAGTTATTTTGAAATTTAGTTATTTTTGAAATTTAGTTATTTTTGAAATTTAGTTATTTTTGAAATTTAGTTATTTATTTTTTTGTATATATTAATAATTTTTTTATTTATTAAAAAAATATAAAAACAGTAAAACCAACTGAAGTCCGTATAACACAATTGACACCCATATTGTTGACCCAACACGAGGCCCTGTTTGAGTGCAACTCCTATGGGTCGCGACCCATGCCTACAATACATTGGTTTTTTGATGGCAAACGACACGATACCAGATCTCATGGTTTGTTAAACATATATATATATATAAAAAAATTAATAAATATTATGACAAATAAATTTTATTAATTTAATTATGATGTTTTTTTATTTGCTTATATACTTAATATACTTACTGTATATTATACTGTATATATATATTGTATTAATTTACTGGTTTTTTGTTGTTGTTGTTGATAATAGCGACACAATCAACAACAACACAATTATTGTAATTTAATTAAAAGGATAACATAGAAAATAACCACAAAAAAAAGTTTTAATACATATTTATAACATTAAATGAATTGTGTGTTGTTTGACTTTTAATTGATTTACTACAAACACATACAAACATACACACACACACACACACACACACACACACACACATACATACATACACACACATACACATACACATACACATACACATACACATACACATACACATACACATACACATACACATACACATACACATACACATACACATACACATACACATACACATACACATACACATACACATACACATACACATACACATACACATACACATACACATACACATACACATACACATACACATACACATACACATACACATACACATACACATACACATACACATACACATACACATACACATACACATACACATACACATACACATACACATACACATACACATACACATACACATACACATACACATACACATACACATACACATACACATACACATACACATACACATACACATACACATACACATACACATACACATACACATACACATACACATACACATACACATACACATACACATACACATACACATACACATACACATACACATACACATACACATACACATACACATACACATACACATACACATACACATACACATACACATACACATACACATACACATACACATACACATACACATACACATACACATACACATACACATACACATACACATACACATACACATACACATACAATACACATACACATACAATAAAAGATACATATATTTTGTGCTTTATTTTATTATAAGATATACAGTAGTGATAGCTTTTACGTATAGATAATACCAGTGCTTGAATGACATTAGCTCTCTCTCTCTCTCTCTCTCTCTCTCTCTCTCTCTCTCTCTCTTACTCTTTGTTATCAACTATTGAATTGTTGTCTTGAGTTAAGACACGATAGTGTGCCCAAACATTATATCACTTTTGACGTATTGGTTACACAATAACCAGTGGCTAATAATAAAAGTCAGGATCACAGCCAACACAACAACAGTAACAATAGAAAAGAGAAAAAGAAAAAAAATTAATCAAATTTTCTAATTAATTATATACTATATATACAGTAGATATATATATATATATATATATATATATATATAGATGTCCAGTGTTTTTATGTTTATGTTTATTTTACTATTCAATCTAACTATACATTTAAATGACAATTACATTAACACACACACACAATAACTGTAACTAAATTCACAGTTATTTTTTTGTTGGTTAATATACTTTAAGTTAGCGATAAATACAAATAAAATAAATATTTATTTTATATATATAGCTGAATATAAGTTTCAATGAATATTTATGTATTGTTTTGTTTGTTTTTTTTTTGGTGTACAAATGTATGCATTTATTTTATTTTTTATTTTTAGGTGAAACCCAGACATCCAGCACATTGACTATAACTGTGGACAGACAGCACAGGGGATCGATACTTGAATGTGTGGCCCAAAACCCAAAGATACCCAACTCTGGGATTTCCGATCAAATCAAGCTCAACGTGCACTGTATGTTATATATAACTGTTTTTTATGATATACTGTCCTCATAATGTATATAATATATATATATAAACATTATATATACTATATATTTATTTATATCATATATAAAAATTTTTGAAGTTTATAAAATATAAAAATAGTTTAGACAGCATTTTATTTATTTATATATATATATGTTTTATGTTGTGTGTGTGTGTGTGTGTGTGTGTGTGTGTGTGTATGTGTGTGTGTGTGTGTGTGACACCAGAAATAAAAAAAAATTATGACAATAACAACAACAACAATAATAATAGTAATAATAATAACTATTTTATAGTAATATTGTTGTGTGTGTGTGTGTGTTTGTACACAAATAGCAATATATATATATATAAATCACATTTTACACAGCAATATGACCAACAATTTGCTAGTGATGTAGAAATACTTTATTTTATTTTTTTTGTTGGTGTAGTTGTTGTGTTGTTAGCAAATACTGTAAATGCTTTAGCAGTTTATATATATATATATATATATATATATATATATATATATATAAAAGTAAAAATAAATATCAATACTAATGGATCTGATTATTGTCGGGTCATTTAGTGTTAGTGAACTGGCAATGATGTTATATTATATATATATATATATATATATATATATATATATATATATATATATATATATATATATATATATATATATATATATATATATATATATATATATATATTATATATATATATTATATATATATATATATTATATATTATAATACTATACTTATCTGTTATACATTTCAACAATATATATATATATATTTACTGTATATAACGCATCAATATATAATGTATATACAGTAAACCATAGATAGATAGTGTTTTAGAAAATAAAGTAAAGTTTATATTAGTTGACAAATTTATTTTTAAAATTATTTAATTTTAATATATATTTTTATTAACTTATTATATGCTTATATTGGCTTAAAACTAAATCTGGTCTATAAAATCAAACGTGTGTGTATGTGGGTGTATATATATATATATATATATATATATATATATGTATATGTGTGTGTGTGTGTGTGTGTGTGTGTGAAAAATTTTTCAATTAATTTCAAGCCATACTAATGATTAGATTGGCCGGAAAATATATAATCGTTAAGCAATTTTTGTTGTTGTTATTAATGTTGTTGTTGTTGTTGTTGATGATGATGTTGTTTGTATAGTAGTAGTAGTAGTAGTAATAGTATAGTAAAAATCTAATGTTATATATATATATATATATATATATATTATTAGTTAATGATTTTATTTTTATTTTTTGGCGCAAATGATTAATTAAATTTTGAACTTATTTTTATCAAAAAATGATTTTATTTTTTTGATGATAAATCACTTTTTAACGTGCGATAGAAATTAATCTAGTATAAAAATTGTTATTTACTTAATATGATATTATATATATATATATATATAATTTTAACTTGATGATAATGATGTTAATTAATTTAATTGTTGATCATAATCATTTTACTAAATTTATTTTTAATATTTTTAATATTATTATTATTTAATTGTATAATATTTTGCATAATATTTTATGCATATTATTTTACTGTATATACTAATAAAAAAAGTAATTATATTTTTAATAATATAAAATTATAAGATATTAAGAAAATGATATATATATATATATATATTTAAAACTAAAACAAAAATAATTTTGATTGATCATACATGTTGATTAATTATTATTATTATTATTATTATTATTTAATAGATAATAAACATCAATTAGTAAATTGATTTTTTAAAAAAAATTAATTTATTAAAAAATATTACTTTCAATTTTTAGTCATTTACTTTTATATATATATATATACATATATATATATATAACATCTATGAAAATTCATATTATATAATAAATATACTGTCAATAATACTGTCATATTATTATTAGCTATACTGTAATAAACTGTCATTTATTTGCTTTTTTTACTTACCCTATCAATGTTGCCTTTTTTTGTATATATATATATATATATATATATATATATACAGTATATATATATTGGTATTATTAATATATTGTAGATATATATATATATATCACTATTTCATATATATTATATATATTAATAGATTCTCCACAATTGCATCTAACATTGGGAACGCCGACAATGAGTTTGGATAACATTCAGGAAGGGATTGACATCTATTTTGACTGTCATATTGACGCCAATCCCCGGCCAACGACACCAATCCTATGGCTGTTTAATGGAAATTCATTGCAACCGCAACAAGGTTTGCATATTTTTATAAAATAAAATAATAGTTATATATATTTAAATATTTAGTATTAGAAATTATTAATTATTATATAAACACAAAATACAATATTGTTTATAAATTTTTACTAATTTAAAAAAATTCTAAAATTATAATTTTATTAAAATTTAATTTTAGTAAATTATAATTATTATTATATGAAACAAATTTACCTATAATTTTTTTATTACAATTTTTTTTTTTAAATGACTGACAAATTTTTTATTACTCCAAATTAACAAACAAATAAATTTTTATTTACTGTACTTAGCTAACTGTCTATCAATCACACTAAAACACTGTATAATTGTTGGCATTGATATTAATATAGATATACAGTATATAAAAATATATTTCCAACAAATCTAACAAATAAAATAATTGCCAATTGATATATATATATATATATATATATATATATATATATATATATATATATATATATATAACGATACAGTTTATAATAGGATTTTTTTGAGCAAATGTTAAACCAATTTTATTTTAAATAAAAAAATCTCCAAAAAAAAGTAATTTTATTCTCTCTCTCTCTCTCTCTCTCTCTCTCTCTCTCTCTCTCTCTCTCTCTCTCTCTCTCTCTCTCTCTCTCTCTCTCTCTCTCTCTCTATTTCACACTATTTTTATATTTACACAAAAAAAATCTCACTTTAACTCTAAAAATCTTGATTTTCTTGTCCATCACTTATTTTTTTTGCGATCAATTTTCTTGTTGTTGTTGTTGTGTTGGGCTCTCTATATTTGAAATCAACTGTAAATTATTGACTCTAGTTTTATTTTCTCGTTTTTTTTGTTGTTGCTTTCAATTTACTTTCAAATGGTTTGGAGAAAAACAAAATTGAAACCAATTTTTAGTTTTTTTGTGCCTACAATTTGTTTATATGTATATATATATATTGTATATGAAAATAAACTTTTTTATACTATACTTATACACACACACAATATATATATATATATATATATATATATATTGTATATAATCTTGAAAAACATATATATTCTGAATAATATTTAACAAAACAGAGATTATAGCAGAAAATAAATAAAAAATATTATATTCAATATTTCTGAATGTTTTATATTTTTTTTATATATTTATATACTCGACGTAAAACACGTATAGTTTTTTTTGTGAATTGCAATATTTACTATAAATATATATTAATATATATATATATAAAGTTTATTTTACACACAATATATATATATTACAGGTATGTAGGTATGCATAATATTCAGTAAGGTATTTACTACTGGAAATACGTAACACACATACATACACACACATATACATACATACACACATACATACACACACATACATACACACACATACATACACGCACATACCTACACACACATACATACATACATACATACACACACATACACACACATACATACACACACATACCTACACACACATACACACACATACATACATACACAAACATACATACATACATACACACATACATACACACATACAAACACATATACACACACACACTTTCAATATTATTGTTGTTAAATTTAAAATTCAAAAATTTTTATCTATCATAATATAAAATATGTTTATATAAAATACTATATACTGTAGAATTGTATCTATTTTTTTTGTAAAAAAAAAGTTTATATCATGTTTTTTTTGTTTGTTTGTTTGTTTGCATTATTTGCATTTATAGTATAACGTATGTGTATAGTACACTGTATACTGTTATACTGTTTATATTATTAACAAAAAAATACATATATATATATATATAAATATTTTTATAGTTGATATTTTTAAAGTTTTTTTTCATAAAATATACAAATAAAAAAACATAAAGTGTTTTTATTTGTAAAATTTATAAATATATATATATATATTTTTAGTTTTCTTGTTGTTATATATATACAATATATACTGTATATAAAGTAACATACAATATATTTATCTATTACTCTATATTTAGATTTATCGATATATATATATATATATATATATATATATATATATACTTTTTATATATTGATTTTTGTATGTGAATAATATAAATAATTAAATATAATATCAACAAAAAACAAAACAAAACTAATGTATCTATAAATAAAAATATTGTAAATTTTAATAAATTTAAAAAAATAGCTATCGTTTAGTTATTATATATATATATTTGTTATGTTATAAAATTATTGAACAATTTAAATTTTATTTAGTAATAATTATTCAATTTTAWAAAAAAAAATATATTTATTTTAAAAATCAATCAATCAATTAGGTATCAAAATTTTTTTTGCTAATAATTTTTTTAGGTATCATTGAAAGCAATCAATCGTTGGTTTTACAGCACGTGAATCGTTGGCAAAGCGGTACCTATCAGTGCCAATCAACTAACCAAATGGGAACAGCAATCAGCAATACTATACATTTAAGGATTAGATACGCACCCGTATGTAGACAACAATTCACGTGAGTATTTGGTTTGTTATATTTATATATAATAAATAAATAAACACTGATTTTAATACATAAATCAGTTTATTATATATACAGTATATATTTCTAAACATTATCACAATAGTTATTAAATATATATACAGTATATATATATATATAATTTTATAATTTAATATCAACCAAAAAAAAACATAATAAACTTATTGTATTTTTAAAAATTATAATATAAATATTATATTTTATATTTTAATACATATATCTGTTTATTATATATACTGTATATATTTCTAAACATTATTACAATAGTTATTATATATATAAATATGATTTTATAATTTAATATTAAGAAAAATAAAAACAATATACTTATTGTTATTTAAAAAAAAAAAATATAAAATATTATATCTTATATCTTATATTTTTCTCGGTTATTTTTTTAAAAAAATAATTAATATTATTTTATAAAAAATTAATTTAGCTAGAACATTTTTAATCTGTACCAAAAAAAAAAGTTTTTTATTTCTAAACTAACATAAAAATAATTAATGAAAAAAATACTTGATTTATTTTTATTTTATTTTTTTACTAAATCAATATTTAAATAGATTTTGATTTAAATTTAAATTTTTTATTTTAATAAAACATTTTTAACTTTTTAATGTAAGTAAATAGTTAATGCATTACTTTTAAAAATAATTGAAAATTTAATTTAGTTAGTTACTATTTACTTATTTTTTTAGCTAATATATAAAAAAATCACTTAATGTATCATGCTAATTGAATATATTTTTTTTATTTTGTTGAAATGTTTTTTTTCCTATTTATTTTTATTTGTAATACTGTATATATTATAATATATATATATATAGATTTTAATCAAATGAATAGATATTTATAAATAATTAATGAGTTTACTATATATATATATTTAAAATTGTATGAAATTTAGCTGAAAATTTACTGGGAAAATTTCTTAGTAAATTTATCAATAATAAATTTTTAAACTACTTTATTACTACACAACTTGCGATATATATATATATATATGTATTATTAATAATTCAATTATATTTTATTTAAGTCTAATATATTTAAAATAGATTTATTTAAATTTTTTTTGAAAATTAACTAAAAAATACTAATAAAATTATTTGTAAATATTATATGTATTATTATAACTTAGCTTATATAAAAAAAATTAAAAAATTAACATGATAATTTTATATATAGAAATTTTTTAGATATTTTACTGTTTTTAACAATTCTATAAATAACGCAAAAAATATATATCTAGTCAATAAAAGTTAATAAAAATAGTAAAAGTTAAAATCAATTTTTAAAAAATATTATTTATTATAGCAAATTGTAATATAAATAAATTTATTAAAACTACAGTAAATTATACAGTTATATTGATTAACTAATATTATTATTTTATAAATATATATATATATCATTATCAATACATTATTTAATTACTATTAAAACATTATTTTTCAGTATAGTATTACAATTTTAGTACAAGTTTTAGTTCAAAAATAGATTTTAAAATCAATACTAATAAAACATTGATTTTCTAAATGATTAAATTACAATGTATTTAAATTAATATGCTAATTTATCCTGAATAATATATATATATATATATATATAATATATATATTGTATGTATGTTTATTTTCTTGAACATGTATAATTAAACAATAAAACAATTTTTAAGTAAATTGAATTAGCTATAAAACATTTTAAATATGCAAAACTTCAAAAAAGCAATCATTAATTAAAATTGAAAGTAAATTCATTAAATAATTATGTTAATGCTTTATGTTATTTAAACAGATACTCTAAATGACTCACCCACTCACTCACTGGCTTTTTAGTTTGTATGTATGTGTGTGTGTGTGTGTGTGTGTGTGTGTGTATGTGTGTGTATGTGTGTGTATGTGTGTGTATGTGTGTGTATGTGTGTGTATGTGTGTGTATGTGTGTGTATGTGTGTGTATGTGTATGTATGTGTGTGTATGTGTGTGTATGTGTGTGTATGTGTGTGTATGTGTATGTATATGTGTGTATGTGTGTGTATGTATGTGTATGTGTGTGTATGTGTGTGTATGTGTGTGTATGTTGTGTGTATGTGTGTGTATGTGTGTGTATGTGTGTGTATGTATGTGTATGTGTGTGTATGTGTGTGTATGTGTGTGTATGTGTGTGTATGTGTGTGTATGTATGAGTGAGTGGGTGAGTGTGTATGTGCTATAGTTTAATGCAATACAATCTATAATAATAGTCTACAGTGAATTGACAAATATATAGTAACAAAAAAAATAAAATAAAATAATAATAAAATTCATTGATATTCTCTTATGGGAAAAGTTTTATCTTTATTTAAAAATTTATTATATAATATAAGTATATTGTAAGCAAAAAAAATTGATTTTAACACATAAAGTGACATTTTTTTAAAGTATAAAATAGTTAATATATATATATTTCTAGTATAAAAATATATTAATAAATTGAGACATAATTTTGAAAAGAAACAAAAAGGGGATTTAAATCATTAAAAATTCATTGCTAATACCTATAGTATTATACTTTATATACAGTGTATATCTCAAAGTAATAAAATTTTTTAAAACTATAAAACAAATGAGGAAAGAGAGAGAGAGAGAGAATTATAAAATACAATATATATTCATAAAGATTGTACATTATATTACAGTATACTATATATAGTATATACTGTATATATAATAAATATATATATGTTATCAGATATTAAATATATTGAAGATAACAAAAAAAATCTTTAAAAAATTTGTTGAATTTAATCCGATTTCAATGCTTAACTATACAATGTAAATATATATACAGTATATATATATATATATATTGTAAAACAAATTTTTTAATAAAAATTTATATTAAAATCAATAGTTAAATTGTGTATTTGTTTTGCATTTTAATTACGCGCAGAAAATATTTCTTTTTTGACTGTATTTGTTTGCATTTACCTAACTATATATATATATATGACATTAATTTTGTAGATATATTGAATATATAAGATTTATATATAATACTATATATACACACACACACTATATATTACTGTAGTATTAATACATATAGTATTAATATATGTATTTTAAAACTAATTGAGTGCTTATATATATATTTATTATATATAGTTTAGATTTTTATCAGCCAAACAACAAATCTCTCATATTTTACCAAAAAATGCATTAATAATCCCATTTTATAAAATCAATTTATCTTCATTTATATGTATTTTTATATTAAAAATATAAGTTACAAAATATATATACTATATATTGTATATACTGTATATTTATATTGTAGACAACTGTTCAAAAATTTATGTCTATTGTTGTACATGTATTAAAAATTTTGTACAGTAAGTGAAAACATATAGCTTTACAATATATACTGTATATAACTTTATATTATATAATAATAATATTTTGCTTAATAACTTTATTATGACAGATAAAATAAAATAATTCACATTAATATTTTTTAGTATTTATATGATATGATATTTATGGTATTAATATAAATATATAACAAAAACCATATATATATATATATATATACTGTATATATATATATTTATTTATTTATTTATATTTATGTGTAAAGATATGAAACTAAAATATAGAAATAAATATTTGTTTTAAATTATAAATATATTATTATTATTATTATTAAACAATATTAGATAAATAATTTATTAAGAAAATAAATTTTAACAAACATAAACAAAATAATTATTTTATAAAAAATTAATTTTTTAATATCTTTTACTAAAAATTCTATATAATTTCTATTATTATAATTATTATTATTATTATTATTATTATTATTATTATTATTAGACTGGTTTATGGTGTGTCACTACATGAGCTCATAGCCATTGAATGTGAAGTCGATGCCAATCCATCACAAGTGTCTTTCCAATGGAAGTTTGAGTCCTATACTAATTTGGCTACATTTAGCCAAATCAATGACTCCAGGTATGTATATATTTGTATAATTTTTATTTTTTTATAAAAAATAATATTTAATAAATTAAATATAAATTAATATTATTTAGTCATACACTAGTGATTAACTATAAGTGAGACTTATTTAAATAAAAAATATAACATTATTTTTTTGTTTAAAAATTATAATAAATAAAATAATTATGTCATATATATATATATATGACATAATAATTTTTAATTAGTTCAAAAAAATAATATTTCATAAATTAAATACTAAAAATTAAATATAGAAATTAATATTAATTAGTCATAGGGTATATATATACCAGTGATTAACTACTGTATAAATTATAACTTATTTGTTATTTAAAAATTATAAATAAATAAAATTAATTATTCATATAACATAATAATTTTTAATTAGTTCAAAAAATAATAATATTATAAGTCTACTTATAAATAATATCTAATTAAATATATTTTATACCTACTAAGTCTATGTGTGTGTGTGTGTGTGTGTGTGTGTGTGTGTGTGTGTGTGATTTACTTTTTTTTATCATGGTTATTTTTCATAAATTAATCTAAATATAAAGTTAAATCACTGATATATAATGTACTATATATTTACTGTATACATACTGGTATATATAGCCTATGACTAAATAATATTAATTTATGTTTTAATATGATTTTAAATAACCATATAAATAATTTTACATTTAAAAATGCATTTATAATATTTTTCAAACAAACAACAATAATTATGATAAATGCATTTTATATGTATATATATATACATATATATTTATTTATATATATATATACTTATATATATTTATTTTTATTTTATTTATTTCGGATTTTCGGGCCAATTAATTTAATCAATGGAGATTAAAACATTACAAAAATATGTTATATATATATATATTTAAATAAATATATCATTTTTGAACCAAATATTTACATAAAGTGTATAATTTATATATATATATATATATAATAAAGTAATTACTATTAAAAAATATATTAATTTATATAATGAACTCTACAATTCATAGCCAAATGCAATATATAATATTAATACTACTAATAATATTAATAATACTAAAAGTAGTATTTAGTATAAAAATTTTTACATCAATTATACTTTCGTAATGCCATTTATGACATTTATTTTATTTTTTTTTTAAATAAAATATTTTGCTTTTCTAAATATTATATATCATTTTTGATGATTAAAATTATGTTAATTTCTGTGTGTCCATCACTTAATGTATTACATTAATACTACTACTACTAATAATAAATGTATACAAAGTTTATTTATTATTAAAATTTCAATATTCAGGAAAATATTTAGAGAGAGAGAGAGAGAGAGAGAAAGTTTATAACATAAAGATTATATTAAACTTTTATAATGAATATAATTCCGGTTAATATTAATAAATCTTAATATTAAAAATTTTTACTAAAAATGTATTTTTATGTATTTTTCTTAAATACATTAAAGTTTTATTATTATTATTATTATTATTTGCTATCCTATCGTTAATGTTTCAACATTAGATAAACAAACATTAAATTAAATATATATAATATAAGTTTTATTTTTATTATTATTATATATACAGTATATACTGTACTATCCATAGTATTTAATATATAAAATATTTATCATGTATTGTATATACTGTATATATAATATAGAGAGTAATAAAATTTTACACTAACATTATATTTATAAACTTATCTATATATATATATATGAAATTTTTAGTAAAATTTTGTTTGTTTGTTATTGTCTATTAAATACTTATATATATTGTTTTTTTTAATAATATTTTTTCCCCAAAAAAACTACACATTAATAATTTAATGTAAAATAAATCTACATTAAAATCTACATGAATTTGAATAATACATTAACATTAGATTTAAAAACAAATTTTGTTTTTTTATATATAAATATAAAAATTTATTTAAATAGACAGTTAAAGAGAGATATGCTTTTTTAAAAAAAAACATTATAAGTGTTTAATGTAAATTTATTTTTTAATGTATAATATTTTTTTTAAAAACAAATTTCTACCAAAAAAAATAAATAAATTATTTAAAAAAAATTATATAAATTTATATTCAAATAATACAATTAGTAGTTGGATTAGTTTTTACAATTTATTTTTATTTTAAAATATATTTTTTTAATCTATTAAAAATTAATTAAAAATGATATTTACAAATAAAAATTAATTAAATATGATATTTACAAATAAAAAAATGTTTAACAAACACAAAAATAATTGACATACAAATCACAATTTTTCTAAAATTAATTACATTATTATTAATTAATTAGTGATAACTTAAATAAAAAACTTAAAAAAAACTTTAAAAATTATCAATAGTATTTCAAGTACAGATTAAAAGTCAAGTTTTTTTTAAAAAAGTTTAAATTATAAATTTATCTATATGGCTATAATACTGTATTATATAATAATAATTTTTACTTAAAAAAATTAAATATGTATGAATTTATTAATAATAATAATTTAGAAATTTAATAGTATTTATATTTCAGTGATTTGAGTTAACAAAAAAAAATAAAATAAATAGTTTTGTTTCATATAAAATTAGATACGTATAATAAATATGTAATTTAAATATATTATAATAAACTATATATATAAATGTGAGATAATATATATATATAACTCGTGGGAGTTTATGTTTATTTAGTATTTATTAGTATGTATTATATATATATATATATATATATATATATATATATATATATACAGTATATATACATTCAACATAAGATTCTGTAATTATAATTTATTTTATTTTATGTTATTATTTTATTTTATTGTTTGAAACACATAATCAAATAATAATTTATTTGTGTTTATTCAAAGATTATATATAAAACAAAAATATAAGGCAACAAACTATGATATTTTGCAATCATATAAATTTTAAGTATAAAAAAAATAAGATTAACTGTAATTTTTTAGTTACAATTTTATTAAATAAATAATATTTATTTTATTTATACTTTTTATTTAAAAAAAACTAAATTTATTTTATAAAAATATAACATTTATTAGATAATAATGAAAATATAGTGTACTTTATATACACTATTTTCCGTAACTATAATATATAATGCGATTTTTATTAAAATATTTTTTTGTTTTTTAAATTTTTTTTAATCATTTTTTATTATTTTTCAATTTCACTGGTGATTTAGACCTAACCTAACCATTGATTGTATTTTTTTTTTTTTAAAAACACCCGTTTTTTTTAGTTCAATATTGACTTATACGCCTCACTCGACCCAAGAGTTTGGCCAAATTGAGTGTACGGCCAAAAACCAGATCGGCATTCAACGGCAGTCATGCAAATATCTGGTCACCCAAACCATGGAACCATACTTTCCCTATGTGTGTACGGTTGTCAACCAGTCGGATACGACACTGATAGTTAATTGTGCACAAATCCAACAGCGCCTGGGGATCGGCAGTCAGACAACTAACAGTGATAATCAACTGCCACTGACAACACCAACATCACCGCCAGCTTATCTATACCACAATACATCCCAAGCACGTGTAGGTAGTAGTGGTAGTGTAGCCAATAGTATAAGTCATGGTAAGCACCTGTCAACGGGTGGTGGTGTTGGCGGTGGTCGACATGTAATTAATGGTATTAAGGGACAGACATCATCACAACAACAACAATCAATACCCAGTGCTCAACAACAACAACAACCATATTTGATAGTACATCCCCAGACATACTACGTGTGCGAAGTATACGACACCCGAAACGGTATGCAATTGTTGCGCAACGTATCGGTCGATGCCATAGGCCTTCAGCTGATGAGACACAACACATCGTTTGATATATTCATTGATGAATTGCCACCGAAAACTCAGCTGAAATTACGTATATATGCGGTCAATGTACGCGGCTATCGTAGTAATGTGGAACTGGATCTCCGGGCACAGACACTGATGCCAGCCCAACGACTCATCGACTTTGACGGCACTAATAATGGCCACAATAACGGCATTAATAACATTGCCAGCAATTATACCCTATTTGATGGTCAATCGTTGTTTCAGTTAGACGGCAAACATTTGATTATCGGTGTACTGATTACGGCAGCCGCAGTAGCCGTAATAGTGGTCATTATGGCCATTGTTGCCGTATTTAAGGTACGGTATTCGTCGTCCAGTATGCAGCTGACCAACGAACCGATGATCGGCAACGACGACCTGAACTGCGGCGATCCGGGCGGCGATACAGTCCAGGCCGAGACAATGTTGGGCGGCGACGGTTGCGGCGGTGACTGTCTGGACGATTGCCGAAGCGATCAGCAACTGCTGAAGTGTGGCCAGACGTCCAGCGAGTGTTCGGTAGATCCGTACAAAAAGGATTACGACCTAAGCTATAATCGCATGATTAATAATCATCATAAAAGTACGGGCAGTCTGGGTCCGCCCGATATAATACCGGTGCCCTACTATAGTGGTGGTGGTGGCGGTGGCGGTGTCGGTATGAATGTATGCTGTGATAGTAGTAATCAACTACAATGTAATAATGATTGTCCACTAATAAGTGATAAAACTCAAGTATGCACTGGTGTTAACTGTTTTATTAGCACCGGTGGTAGTGGTGGCGGCGGTGGTGGCGGTGGAGGCGATATCTGTGATGAATCAAACAGCTATTTTGGTGGTCAGTAGTGTCTTATTATTATTAACTATAATATTAAAGTATTATTTAACTATAATATTAAAGTATTATTTAACTATAATATTAAAGTATTATTTAACTATAATATTAAATTATTATTTAACTATAATATATTAAAGTATTATTATTATTATAGTAAAGGTATTATTGCTAAACATTAATATAAAAAATATAACTTTCTTTATAAGTTAGAAATAATTTATATATATATATATATATAATATACTGAATAAGATATTATTATATATTTTTAAAAATAAATAAATAAAACTTTAATAAAAGTTTAAGTTATTTTATTTTTATATTTATAAAATTTATGGTTTAACTTATATATATAATATAATAGATAGTATAGCTATTGTACACAAATATATATCAATTATTATGTACTGTAAACACAATTTATTTTAATCGTATATAAATGTAATGTTAAAAATTTTGATTTATGATTTATAATTTGGTAATGCTAAATAATTTTTTTTATATAAAAAATAATTTTTATTTAATAACAAACAAACATAACACAATTAATCATTTAATATAATATGATTGAGCATGATAAAATTTTTAAGTTTAAATAATAGTTTATAGAAATGTTGTAGACTTTTTCAGATCAAAATATTTATTTAAAAAATTAAGTTTTTAAGTAACAAAAAATATTTTTCAAACTTTAATAAAAATACAAATATTTTTTGTATTACTAATATAAAGTTTATATAGAAACCAATTGAAACTTATATATTGATAACTAATAATATATAGATAAAAAAATATATAACAATATTTATAAATATAAATAAATAATTTAATTTATTTTTAATAATTAGATTATTACAGAAATAATAATAAATTAATTATTATATAATTAATTATTATTATATAAATTAAATTAATTATATTATATTAAATAATAAATTTTTAAAACAAAATTATTATTACTAGCAAATACTTTCAACAACAAAAATATATAGAAATATTAGTTTTTTAGATATAATTTTTTTAAAAAATATATTTAATTTTTATTAATTATTATTATTAATTAATTAATTTTTTAGACTACAAAATGCAGGACCTGTACAGTAAAGGCGGTCGAGTTTATGTCTATAACAAAGAGGACACCAATAATAGCCATTTAATAGGTATTACTACTAATAATAATAGCAGCAAAACATTGGCCAACAATCACCATATGATGACAACAACTACTACTACTACTACTAGTAATACTACTACTGATTATCAAAATGTTTTGCACGTTAACCTACTATCACAAACAAATCATAATAATAATAATAATAATAGTGAAACACATATTAGACAACAACAACATAATTTTACTAATATTAATTTATGATTGATATATATATGGAAAAAAAAAATTTATAAAAAAAACTTATCAACATAAAATTGATAGTGATTTTAATTTTTATATTTATATATATATATTATAGTAAAAGTAGGCTATAATAAATAGTAAAAAAAACAAAATTATAAAAATTAATATGTAAATTGACACACAATTAAATAAAATATAATGTTTGTTTTTTTATGTAACTATAGATAATATTAAACATTATTATTATATGATATTTATATATGATTATATGAACTGGACAATTTTAAAAATGTTTTTTTTTAATTATTATTATTAACAATATAAAATAAAATTATAACTGTGCCAACAATTTTTTGTATTATAAGATGAAAATATAATAATAATAATTATTAGTATTATTGTTAATGACAAACATAAAAATATTTAATCCAATTATAATAATGTAAATATAATTAATTAATTGATTTTATTATTAAATATTTGTAATATATATTTCATATATAATTGAAACAAATAAATATCGATTTTTAATTATTTACTTAAAAAATTATTTATTTATTTTTTAACTCTTTAGTCTAATAATTAATATTTTAATTAATTTATGAGTAAATATTAAACTCAATTTTTTAAAGTATAAATAAAATATGATAATTAAATTACACGATAAATATTTTATAATTAAATTAAAAATAAAACTAAAATTTTTTATATTTATTTAAAAAAAATATTTTAATTCAAGTATTAAAAATTCATTATTAAAGTTATTGAATGAAATATAAATTTTACTAAAAAAAATAACTTTTATTTTTATTTTGTTAACTATAAAATGATTTAATAATAATAATAATAATAAAAATAAAAAAGACAAGTATTTTTTATATATATATTTATATTACTTAATAAAATTTACATAAAACTAAACTTATATTTGTTTTAAATGTGTTTATTGACATTTATTATTATTATTATTATTATTATAAAAAAACAATAGAAAATAAGTATATTTCATTTGATTTTGTTTTTGTTGTCTTTTTAAAGTAGATTTTTTTTTTTGGTGAAAATATATATATATAATATTTGATCATATATTTCATATATATATATATATATATATTCATAAAACAAAAGTGATGTGCATTAAATTTAATGGGTTTGCATTATATTTATTTTTATTTTATTTTATTAAATTTACATATTTTTTATATTTATATATATATTTTTTTATTTTGCTAAAATATAAATTTAGAAAAATTTTTCTATAGAAATAATAATAATAATAATAATGACATTATAATATATTTAAAGTAATATTATTTAGTTTGAATACTAAAGTATTATATGATTGAAGAAATTATTAATTCAAAAAAATAATAAAAATATCAAATTACAAATTGTTTTAAATTATTTTTTATAAAAAAATTGTTTAATTTTTAAATTTAGATAATATTTTTTTTCAATATAATTATTAATATTTATTTTTTTTCTAATAATTATTAGTGTAGTAGAGTTTAGTGTATAGTGTTTTTTAAAAATATAATGTTTAAAATGTTTACAGAAAAAAATAGTTTTGTATAACAAATAGTTTGATACACTATTGATAATAATAATAATATTATTATTACTAATATACAGAATAATAATAATAATAATAATACTATTACTAATATACAGAATAATAATAATAATAATAATACTATTACTAATATACAGAATAAGAATAATAATAATAATAATAATAATAATAATACTATTACTAATATACAGAATAATAATAATAATAATAATAATAATACTATTACTAATATACAGAATAATAATAATAATAATAATACTATTACTAATATACAGAATAATAATAATAATAATAATAATAATAATACTATTACTAATATACAGAATAATAATAATAATAATAATAATAATAATACTATTACTAATATACAGAATAATAATAATAGTGTTTAAAAATAGTT